TAACAATTGCTGGTTTCCAAGTAGTAGGGCACAATGACTGTCTGAATGAAGAGTTTATCAGTTTTGTGATGGGATCTGTAAGTGTTTCTCTGTGTGTCTTCAGCAGTATTGTATCCAGTCCATATGAATCGGATGATTTCGAATTTTTTAGCGTCCTTATTGTTTTATCCACAATTGAGTGAGAAACTTCTCTTCGAGAGAAAACCGGTTCAAATGTATTTAACGGCACCACACTTAGAGAGTCCGTGGGTGGGTTGTAAGATAACACTTCAACGGAAACCACAGTTTGGCACTTTACAGCCGCAGCCGCCCCACTGTGGCACTTGCTGTTCCCAGAGGTCTCCCATCACAGTACTAACAGGCCCTGTCCTGCTTAGCTTCAGAGGTCACTTTAAACCCAGAGCATAGATTTCCTGCCCGTATGTCTCGCACTGATTCTGTTTCAAGCTAACGATGGAGATTGGATTTTTAAAGTACATACAGAGACAGACAGACAGACAGATAGACAGATAGACATATAGACAGATAGACAGACAGATAGATAGATAGATTGAGATAGATAGACAGATAGATAGATAGACAGATAGATAGATAGAGGGAGGAACCAAAAACATTCTCTATATGTTTCCTTTTAGGGGACTCTCCTCCACTCTCTTCTCCTCTCTCGCTCTTCTCTCACTCCTCTCCACCTCCTCTCCTCTCCATTCCTCTTCTCTCCTCACCTCTCTACTCTCGCTCCTTTCTCTCCCCTCTCTCACTCCACTCCACCTCCTTTTCCCTCCTCTCCACTCCTCTCTATCTTCTCCTCCCCCTCTCCTCCCTCTCTCCTTCCTCTCTCCTCTTTCCCCCCTCTCCTCTCCTCTCCTCTCTCTCCTCTCCTCTCTTCCTCTCTCTCCTCTCCTCCCCTTCTCCTCTCACTCCTCTCCTCTCTCTCCTCTCTCCTCCCTCCTCTCCTCTCTCTCCTCTCCTCCCCCTCTCCTCTCCCTCTCCTCTCACTCCTCTCCTCCCCCTCTCCTCTCTCGGTACAGAAGTTTGGCCCAGACTGGCCGTAAGATAAGTCTCTCTGTGGTTTTCCTTCACTTCCCAGAACCCTGTCCCCCCCCTTCCATGGAATCTGTGGTTATTTTTAAAGTGGGGGAAAAGGGGGGATGGGGGGGAGAGAGACAGCGGGGGAGAGAGAGAGAGTGGGGGGTACAGCGACGGGGGAGACAGTTTTGGTGTCGTATGAATCCAAACCAGGCAGTGATCCAGCAAAAACTCTCCCCTTCTCCTCCCCCTTCCCCTCCTCCTCCCCCTTCTCCCCAACTCTGTGGGACTCTGCAGGAAAAAGTATCCCAACCTCTCTCTCCCCCCTCTTACTCCCCTCTCTTTTCTCTCACCTCTCCCCTTTCTCTCCTCTCTTCCCTCTCTCTCCTCTCTTCCCTCCCTCTCCTCTCTCTCCTCCCCCTCTCTCCCCATGTGTCATAAATGAGGCAGTAACCAACCTTCCTGGACAGTGTTGGTCCCGTTCTCTTCTCTCTCCTCTCCTCCCCCTCTCCTCCCCCTCTCCTCCCCCTCTCCTCCCCCTCTCCTCCCCAACCTTCCTGGACAGTGTTGGTCCCGTTCTCTTAGGACCAATGTGTTTGTTATTGTTGCCTTGGACCTGTGTGGTTTTCTGATCTGCTGTTGGTGAATCTATAACTTTGTAAAGTTCTCTGAGTCGACTGCTGCTGTGGTTTACGTCTCTGCACAAACACAAAACACTGAACAAAAATCCCTGTGAGTCACATATTTGACATTTATTGACAATACTGCAAATGTTACAATGATAAAATCTGACGTGAATAAACCAAAGTTCAGACCAAAGCGTCGGGTTTACACTGAAAATACACGGGGGCCGCGCTTCGAGGATTTTGACTTAAAACAAGAAAAGCATTTAGTCTTCATTAAAAAACTGAGGTGCACACACTTCCTCGAGTGTCCCACTCGAGAGGCTGGTGGAGCACGGCAGGCGGGCCGCGGCGGTGGCCGCCAACAGAGCAAGGGGACTGGGCGTCTCCGGCGTTCTCTCTGCGGTGTGGAGCTGGGCACCTTGAGTCGGCGAAGGAGGCGCAGACACCGGGGAAGGCGAGGCGGTCTGCTCGTCCGTAGCCGCTCCTCCAGGACCCCTTTGCCCTCCATCTACCTGGCCAACGTCCAGTCTCTGCCCAACAAGACGGACGAGCTCCCGTGGATTACAAAGTAGCCCTACAGGATCTGAGCGAGATCCTTCACAAACATGAGTCTGCTCATCCTAACGCAGTCATCATTGTTGCTGGGGATTTCAATAAATGTAATTTAAAGACTGTACTCCCGAACTTTTACCAACATGTGACTCAAGCTACAAGAGGAGCACATGTTCTGGATCACTGCTACAGTAACGTGAAGGGAGCTTACAGGTCCAGTCTCAGACCTCCTTTTGGAAAGTCTTGACCACTCCTCTGTTCTCCTTCTTCCTTCGTATACTCAGAGGAGCAGGGAACATAAACCAACCTCTCGCACTGTGCAGTGTTGGTCTGAGGAGGCTAGCATGAAGCTACAAGGTTGTTTTGATGCTACGGACTGGTCTGTGTTTCAGTCAGAGGACGTCAATGAATTCTGTGACGCTGTGTCTGGATACATACGCTTCTGTATTGACTGTTGTGTCCCACAGAAGGTCTTTAAAGAACATTTTAGTCAAAACCCTTGGATGAACGCGGAAGTGAAACTGAAACTTCATGAGCGTGCGTTGGCGTTTCAATCAAATGATACAGTTGCTTTTCAAGCTATCCTGTTACTCATTGAAACGTTCTATTAAATCTGCAAAGCGCAGTTACGGGGACAGGTTAAAGAGTTATTTTGAGGAAGACGACCCTCGGCGCATGTGGAACGGTATTAAAGCCATCGCATCGTGGAAACCTAGTGCTGGGAAAATTGCATCTGTCGGCCAAGCTCTGCCAAACGAGCTGAACACGTTCTACTGTCGCTTTGAATCCGCTGATGCCTGTCCTACTGTATTCCCTGAGTGTTTCAATCAAGGTACCTTCACCGTGACTCAGGAGGAAGTCAGGCGTGTCTTGTCCAGGACCACAGTCCGGAAAGCCCCAGGCCCGGACGGCATCCCTCCTCGTGTCCTGAAACTGTGCTCTGAGCAACTTGCCCCTGTGCTAACAGACATTTTCAACCTGTCGCTAAGGAACTGTACTGTGCCGAACTGCTTTAAAGAGTCGACCATCATTCCAGTTCCTAAGAAAACTCCTGTGACATGCCTGAATGACTATCGTCCTGTGGCCCTCACGTCTGTTCTTATGAAAACTTTTGAGCGGCTTGTGCTGGACTTCATTAAGAGCCAGATTCCTGTGAGTGTTGACCCGCTCCAGTTTGCTTACAGACAGAACAGGAGTGTGGAGGATGCCATCTCCTTTGCTCTGAACTCTGTCTACAGTCACTTGGACACTAGTAAATCTGTGGCGAGAATGCTTTTCATTCATTATAGCTCTGCTTTTAACTGCCTTGTCCCAGGTAAACTGATTGAAAAGCTCATGTCTCTCGGTTTAAGTGTTGCCATGTGTAAATGGAAATTTAGCTTTTTAACTGACAGATCTCAGAGAGTGAAAATCAATGACTGTTTTTCTGATGTTGTTTCTGTGAGCACTGGTTCTCCTCAGGGATGTATTTTGAGTCCTTTGCTTTTTACTTTGTACACTCACGATTGTGTGTCCTCCTCTGACTCAAACTTGATCATCAAATATGCTGATGACACCACCATCATCGGTCTCATCAGTGACAATGATGAATCCTCTTATAGAGCAGAGATACAAAATGTGGTTCAGTGGAGTAAAACTAACAACCTCCAGTTGAACGCATCGAAAACATGTGAACTGGTCTACGACTTTAGTCGCAATAGTTCTCATTTGCCTGTCGTAATCGACAACTCCCAGGTGCAGATTGTAGAGGAGTGCAAGTTTCTGGGTTTAACTCTGTCTAACGACCTGAAATGGGTTAAAAACACTGACCGAGTCGTTAAGAAAGCTCGTCAGCGTCTCTACTTTCTGCGTAAACTTAGAGAATTTACCACTAACTCTAAGATCCTGCTTAACTTCTATCGCTGCACCATTGAGAGTTTACTTGTTGGTTCTGTGTCTGTGTGGTTTGGAAACATCACAGATAAAGAAAAGAGAGCTTTAAACAAGGTGCTCCGTTCTGCAAAGAGGACCGTGGGCTGTGAGACCAGAGAGAGACCAGAGAGAGACCAGAGAGAGACCAGAGAGAGACCAAAGAGAGAGACCAGAGAGAGAGCAGAGAGAGAGCAGAGAGAGACCAGAGAGAGACCAGAGAGAGACCAGAGAGAGAGACCAGAGAGAGACCAGAGAGAGACCAGAGGGAGACCAGAGAGAGACCAGAGAGAGACCGTGGGCTGTGAGCTTCCTGTTCTGGAGGTTCTTTATAAATCCAGACTTTTAAACAAAGTTCTTAGGATTGTTAATGACTCTTCTGGCCACCCTGGGAAAGCCATGTTCCAGCTTCTTCCCTCTGGCAGAAGATATCGCTCTCTGAGATGCAGGACATCTCGTTACGCTGACAGTTTTTATCCACAAGCTGTTATCAGTGTGAACAGAGCACTTTAATGATTTGCACTTGTTTTGAAACCGTTTTAGTCGATCGATTTCACAGTGACATTTGTTTACTGTTTTATTTGTTTTATTTTTGTCTTTTTATGTTGTTTTATGTCTGTATTTGTCTGTGCACACTGGAGACTTTTGTTAATGTATTCCAATGTGGTGTTTTTACTGCAAATGGCAAATAAACTGAATCTGAATCATTCCAATGGAGACATTTCTAGTAGATTTTTTAAAACAACATCATTTTGTTTTGTCTCATTAGAAAGTCTAGTTTTAATTCTCAGTCACAATGTGTCAAAACTAAGACACATTTTATTTTTTCTCAATGTCTTTTCCAGTGTGTTACTTTCTGAAGACTCACTGGAGTGAAAGTGAAACAGTTTAGATGTTTGTGGACAGGGCCCGTGAGGGAGAGTGGGGGCCCGTGAGGAGAGCGGGGGCCCGTGAGGAGAGTGGGGGCCCGTGAGGGAGAGTGGAAGCCCGTGAGGGAGAGTGGGGGCCCGTGAGGAGAGTGGGGGCCCGTGAGGAGAGTGGGGGCCCGTGAAGAGAGTGGGGGCCCGTGAGGGAGAGTGGAAGCCCGTGAGGAGAGTGGGGGCCCATGAGGAGAGTGGGGGCCCGTGAGGAGAGCGGGGGCCCCTGGGGGTCACACTGATCTGTAAACACCAGGCACTGATTACAGACGTGAACTCTCTTCTCAGACTCTGACACTAGATGGCAAAGATGGAGTTTGGAAGAAAAACAGAGAAGAAGAAAAAGGATTCACAGAGAAGGAACTGCACCCATCTGTCAGATCTAGTTATTCTGTTAGGACCAGAGAAAGAGACTAGAGAGAGAGACCAGAGAGAGACCAGAGAGAGACCAGAGAGACCAGAGACCAGAGAGAGACACCAGAGAGACCAGAGAGAGAATGGAGAGAGAGACCAGAGAGAGACTGGAGAGGGACCAGAGAGAGACCAGAAAGAGAGACCAGAGACCAGAGAGAGACTGGAGAGAGAGACCAGAGAGACCAGAGAGAGACCAGAGAAAGAGACCAGAGGGAGAGACCAGAGAGAGAGACCAGAGGGAGAGACCAGAGGGAGAGACCAGAGAGAGACCAGGGAGACCGAAGAGAGAGAGACCACAGACATAAGAGAGAGACCAAAGAGAGAACAGAGAGGGACCAGAGAGATCATTATCCTCTCTCCTGTCCTCTTCTTCAAACGGACCAGGACTGAGGCCACATCCTCTTCTTCCTCAGTTTCTTTATTGTCTGTGTAACCAAATCTCAGTCTGTTGTAAAACTCCCGAACCCCTCGGTGTCGTTGTGTTCCCGAACATTGATTTGGAGTCGAATGTTTTCCTCGAAGGCGTTTTTCGAGGCAGTGATTTTAATTTTAGCCATAATTGTGCGTCTCCTGTGGGTGTTTCTGAGACTTTCCAACGTTGAGTTTTGTTGTGACTTGAAAACACAATTATCTCCAAGAGAGAGACCAGTGTTATAGAAATATTTTAGTAAAGCAACCTGAATTAACACCAAATAGTTATCAGTGCAAGTTATTAACTAATAGTCAACTCTGGATTCAGATACAGGCCATAATGCTCTGTTGGCAGCAGGTCAGTGATAGATGGAGACGTGCTGCATCATGTCTTTGACCTGGGTCATAGAACAATATGTTCAGGTCAAAAGCAGATTGTTACATATATCAGAGTTGTATCAGCGTTAGGACGCAAAACCCCCTATAGTCACGTACGTTTATGGTCCTACACGTTTATGGTCCTTACACAGAAACTACTAGAGATACAGAAAAAAGTGAGGAAAAAATTCTGATCTGACCAGAGAGAGAGACCAGAGAGAGACCAGAGAGAGACCAGAAAGAGAGAGACCAGAGAGAGAGAGAGACCAGAGAGAGACCAGAAAGAGAGAGACCAGAGAGAGACCAGAAAGAGAGAGACCAGAGAGAGAGAGAGAGACCAGAGAGAGACCAGAGAGAGACCAGAAAGAGAGAGACCAGAGAGAGAGACCAGAGAGAGACCAGAGAGAGAGAGAGAGAGAGACCAGAGAGAGACCAGAGAGAGAGACCAGAGAGAGACCAGAGAGAAACAAGAGAGAGACCAGAGAGAGACCAGAGAGAGAGAGAGACCAGAGAGAGACCAGAGAGAGAGAGAGACCAGAAAGAGAGAGAGACCAGAGAGAGATCAGAGAGAGACCAGGGAGAGACCAGGGAGAGACCAGGGCGAGACCAGAGTGAGACCAGAGTGAGACCAGAGAGAGAGATTATTTGGATCACATGTTGTCCTTGAAGCTGCTCCTTTGGTCTTATGAAAACACAGTAAAAGCTCAGGTTCAGGAATTGAAAATCGGCCTAAATTATCTCTGATCTCTTTTGAGTTCCATCTTGTCAAACCACGGTCTCTTTACGATCCCAGTCCAAACCAGTGGAAAATCCATCTGTGGTCCCGCTGTGTTTGCTCTTTTCTCTCGCTCGTTCCACAAACACCGAGAACACGACAACAAAACCTTGATAACAGCGAGTGCGAGTCAGAGCGAGTCAGTGCGAGTCAGAGCGAGTCAGAGCGAGTCAGTGCGAGTCAGTGCGAGTCAGAGCGAGTCAGAGCGAGTCAGAGCGAGTCAGAGCGAGTCAGAGCGAGTCAGTGCGAGTCAGTGCGAGTCAGAGCGAGTCAGAGCGAGTCAGTGCGAGTCAGAGCGAGTCAGAGCGAGTCAGTGCGAGTCAGAGGGAGTCAGAGCGAGTCAGAGCGAGTCAGAGCGAGTCAGAGCGAGTCAGAGCGAGTCAGTGCGAGTCAGAGCGAGTCAGAGCGAGTCAGAGCGAGTCAGTGCGAGTCAGAGCGAGTCAGAGCGAGTCAGAGCGAGTCAGTGCGAGTCAGAGCGAGTCAGAGCGAGTCAGAGTCAGAGCGAGTCAGTGCGAGTCAGTGCGAGTCAGTGCGAGTCAGTGCGAGTCAGAGCGAGTCAGTGCGAGTCAGTGCGAGTCAGAGCGAGTCAGAGCGAGTCAGTGCGAGTCAGAGCGAGTCAGAGCGAGTCAGAGCGAGTCAGTGCGAGTCAGAGCGAGTCAGAGCGAGTCAGTGCGAGTCAGTGCGAGTCAGAGCGAGTCAGAGCGAGTCAGTGCGAGTCAGAGTGAGTCAGTGCGAGTCAGAGCGAGTGCGAGTCAGAGCGAGTCAGTGCGAGTCAGAGCGAGTCAGAGCGAGTCAGAGCGAGTCAGAGCGAGTCAGTGCGAGTCAGTGCGAGTCAGAGCGAGTGCGAGTCAGAGCGAGTGCGAGTCAGAGCGAGTCAGTGCGAGTCAGTGCGAGTCAGTGCGAGTCAGAGCGAAGTCAGAGCGAGTCAGAGCGAGTCAGAGCGAGTCAGAGTGAGTCAGAGCGAGTCAGAGCGAGTCAGAGCGAGTCAGAGCGAGTCAGAGTGAGTCAGAGCGAGTCAGAGCGAGTCAGAGCGAGTCAGAGTCAGAGCGAGTCAGAGCGAGTCAGAGCGAGTCAGAGCGAGTCACGAGTCATTTCACCAGAGCTGGACCCCCCCATGGTGATGCCCCCCCCATGATCCTGACCCCCCATGGTGCTGCTGCTCCGCCCAATCCCAGGACTCTGATCTGGGATGAAATATTGGTCTCTCTGGTCTCTCTCTGGTCTCTCTCTGGTCTCTCTCTGGTCTCTCTCTGGTCTCTCTCTGGTCTCTCTCTGGTCTCTCTCTGGTCTCTCTCTGGTCTCTCTCTGGTCTCACTCTGGTCTCACTCTGGTCTCGCTCTGGTCTCTCTCTGCTCTCTCTCTGGTCTCTCTCTGGTCTCTCTCTGCTCTCTCTTTCCGTTTTTTCTCTCTGGTCTCTCTCTGGTCTCTCTCTGCTCTCTCTTTCCGTTTTTTCTCTCTGGTCTCTCTCTCTGGTCACTCTCTGGTCTCTCACTGGTCTCTCCCTCCTCTCCCTCTGGTCTCTCTCTCAGATTTCTCTCTCTGGTCTCTCTCTCCACTCTCTGTTCTCTCCCTGTTCTCTCTCTGGTCTCCCTCTTGTCTCTCTCTGGTCTCTCTCTGGTCTCTCTCTGGTCTCTCTCTGGTCTCTCTCTGGTCTCTCTCTGGTCTCTCTCTGGTCTCTCTCTGGTCTCTCTCTGGTCTCCCTCTCTGGTCTTCTCTCCTCTCTCTCTGGTCTCTTTGGTCTCTTCTCTCCACTCTCTGGTCTCTCTCTGGTCTCCCTCTGGTCTCTCTCTGGTCTCCCTCTGGTCTGAATTAAAGTGGATGCTCAATCACAGCCGCTTGTGTTCCTTCTCTGTAAGGACTCATTTACCCAGGGCTCACCCCCGACCGTGCTCTGGCTCGTCCTGATCCGAGGCCTCTGATCTGGGATGAATGCAGTCTGTCCGGCTCCAGCTCAGTCTCCGCATCGTTCCCATTTAGTTTCTCTATGGTCTTTTAATTAACCAGCGGAGACATCGCACATGGTCTGTGTCTGTCTCTCTGATTTAGATTCAGTTTATTTGCCATTTGCAGTAAAACCACCTCTGGTCTCTCTCTGGTCTCTCTCTGGTCTCTTTCTGGGATCTTTCTGGTCTCTCTCTGGTCTCTCTTTTGTCTCTCTCAGGTCTCTTTGTGGTCTCTCTCTGGTCTCTTTCTGGTCTCTCTCTGGTCTCCCTCTGGTCTCTCTCTGGTCTCTCTCTGGTCTCCCTCTTGTCTCCCTCTTGTCTCTCTCTGGTCTCCCTCTGGTCTCTCTCTCCTCTCTCTCTGGTCTCTCTCTGGTCTCTCTCTGGTCTCTCTCTGGTCTCTCTCTGGTCTCTCTCTGGTCTCTCTCTGGTCTCTCTCTGGTCTCCCTCTTGTCTCCCTCTTGTCTCTCTCTGGTCTCCCTCTGGTCTCTCTCTCCTCTCTCTCTGGTCTCTCTCCGGCCTCTCTCTGGTCTCTCTCTGGTCTCTCTCTGGTCTCTCTCTGGTCTCTCTCTGGTCTCTCTCTGGTCTCTCTCTGGTCTCTCTCTGGTCTCTCTCTGGTCTCTCTCTGGTCTCTCTCTGGTCCCTCTCTGGTCTCTCTCTGGTCTCTCTCTGGTCCCTCTCTGGTCTCTCTCTGGTCCCTCTCTGGTCTCTCTCAGGTCTCTCTCTGGTCTCTCTCTGGTCTCTCTCTGGTCTCTCTCTGGTCTCTCTCTGGTCTCTCTCTGGCCTCTCTCTGGCCTCTCTCTGGTCTCTCTCTGGTCTCTCTCTGGTCTCTCTCTGGTCTCTCTCTGGCCTCTCTCTGGCCTCTCTCTGGTCTCTTTCTGGTCTCTCTCTGGTCTCTCTCTGGTCTCTCTCTGGTCTTCTTTCATTGGCTGTGATGTCACCACACTGTCCCCAAGAAGGCAAACTGTCAATGATGCAGGGACAGAATTATAAAGCAGGAAAGACAGAGAGAGAGAGAGAAAGAGAGAGAGAGAGAGAGAGACCATTGGTTATTCTTGGACTTGGTCGTTTATCTCCCGGTCTCTGACTGCCGGTCTCTGGACACACAATGGTACATTACGGTGATGTCTTGCTCTTAGAACCCTGGTGTAATTATGCTATGCTAATTCACCTAGCCTTCAACCGACAGCGAGAGAGACCCCCCCGAGAGTCTGGGACCGGGGGCTTCAACACCACACACGACCCAATGGTACTTTAGGGATTTCTCTTGTCGGGTTAAAGGATCCGAATGGGAGAAAAATGGGCAGGATTAGTGGGGAAGTCGACCTGCCGTATGTCGCTGATCGAGAGAAATGAGATTAGTTTATTTAAAGCTGGGGTACCTGGTTTTTAATGTTAAGCAAAGGGGAAGAGCATCGTAGCATATTGAGATTCCATGTGTAAAAAAGAAACTCGGAAAATTAGAATGAGCTCAAAAGTGCATTTATTTCAGTCCTGGGTCTACAGCCTCAGTCCTGGGTCTACAGCCTCAGTCCTGGGTCTACAGCCTCAGTCCTGGGTCTACAGCCTCAGTCCTGGGTCTACAGCCTCAGTCCTGGATCCACAGCCTCAGTCCTGGGTCTACAGCCTCAGTCCTGGGTCTATAGCCTCAGTCCTGGGTCTACAGCCTCAGTCCTGGATCTACAGCCTCAGTCCTGGGTCTACAGCCTCAGTCCTGGGTCTACAGCCTCAGTCCTGGGTCTACAGCCTCAGTCCTGGGTCTACAGCTTCAGTCCTGGGTCTACAGCTTCAGTCCTGGGTCTACAGCCTCAGTCCTGGATCTACAGCCTCAGTCCTGGATCTACAGCCTCAGTCCTGGGTCTACAGCCTCAGTCCTGGATCTACAGCCTCAGTCCTGGATCCACAGCCTCAGTCCTGGGTCTAGAGTCTCAGTCCTGGGTCTACAGCCTCAGTCCCAGTCTTCTTTTCTCTTATCTATGGCTTTACACAAACACGTTGAATTGAAATTAAATCTACAATGTTTTGGGGCCATAAAAACAAAACCGTTTCTTTGGGATCGGTGTAATTTTACCTCGGCCATAAATCTCGACCCGACAAAACATTTTTTCCATTTAGCGGTGGTAAAACAACAGCGATGTCTTGTTCGAACACTTTTCTTCGAGAGAGGGAGCGGTCGAGCGGGAGGTGGGAGGAGGCCGTACATCGCAGAGGTCTTTCCTGGGAAATAACCCTCGGCACTAAGATTGATGGTATCGTTCCCACCAGCGGCACCAGCGGCACCAGCGGCGGCAGTAACACCAGCAGCGGCGGCAGTAACATTGGGTTGGTTTTGGGGGGAATAGCGGCGTGACTGGGCCGTTAGCACAAGCTGTGATCACAGAACGAGCCACAACAACAACCAAAGTCAAACTACAAATTGGAAATCAAGGCTCTCTCTCGTTCTCTCTCTCTCTCTCTTGTTCTCGCCGACACAAACTGAGTGATGGAGCAAAGCAGCGAGACCAAAAGACGAGAGAGAAGAAAATACGTCGCCCAAGTTGTGCTACAGGGAGTTTAAAAGTGAAGTGGAATCAGGAGACAGAACTTAAGTACATCAAAGAAACAGCAAGAAGAGAGAGACCAGAGAGAGACCAGAGAGAGACTAGAGAGAGACCAGAGAGAGACTAGAGAGAGAGACTAGAGAGAGACCAGAGAGAGACTAGAGAGAGAGACCAGAGAGAGACCAGAGAGGGACTAGAGAGAGAGACCAGAGAGAGACCAGAGAGAGAGACCAGAGAGAGACCAGAGAGAGACTAGAGAGAGAGACCAGAGAGAGACTAGAGAGAGAGACCAGAGAGAGACCAGAGAGAGAGACCAGAGAGAGACTAGAGAGAGAGACCAGAGAGAGACTAGAGGGAGATGAGAGAGAGACGAGAGAGAGACGAGAGAGAGACGAGAGAGAGACCAGAGAGAGACCAGAGAGAGACCAGAGAGAGACCAGAGAGAGACCAGAGAGAGACCAGAGAGAGACCAGAGAGAGACCAGAGAGAGACCAGAGAGATAGACCAGAGAGAGACCAGAGAGAGACCTGAGAGAGAGACCAGAGAGAGACCAGAGAGAGACTAGAGAGATGAGAGAGAGACGAGAGAGAGACCAGAGAGAGACCAGAGAGAGACCAGAGAGAGACCAGAGAGAGACCAGAGAGAGAGACCAGAGAGAGACCAGAGAGAGACTAGAGAGAGATGAGAGAGAGAGACCAGAGAGAGACCAGAGAGAGACCAGAGAGAGAGACCAGAGAGAGACCAGAGAGAGACCAGAGAGAGACCAGAGAGAGACCAGAGAGAGAGACGAGAGAGAGACCAGAGAGAGACCAGAGAGAGACCAGAGAGAGACTAGAGAGAGAGACCAGAGAGAGACCAGAGAGAGACTAGAGAGAGAGACCAGAGAGAGACCAGAGAGAGACTAGAGAGAGAGACCAGAGAGAGACCAGAGAGAGAGACCAGAGAGAGACCAGAGAGAGACCAGAGAGAGACCAGAGAGAGACCAGAGAGAGAGACGGAGAGAGAGAGAGAGACCAGAGAGAGAGAGAGACCAGAGAGAGAGACCAGAGCGAGACCAGAGAGAGACCAGAGAGAGACCAGAGAGAGAGACGAGAGAGAGACCAGAGAGAGACCAGAGAGAGACCAGAGAGAGACCAGTGAGAGAGACCAGAGAGAGACCAGAGAGAGACCAGAGAGAGAGACCAGAGAGAGACCAGAGAGAGACCAGAGAGAGACCAGAGAGAGAGACCAGAGAGAGACCAGAGAGAGACCAGAGAGAGACCAGAGAGAGTCCAGAGATAGACCAGAGATAGACCAGAGACAGACGACAACACATTCTTGATGTTATAGATGCAGACAGTGCTCCTATTTTGATCTGCTTTTAAGAAATATTCGAATCAATTTGGCTTTGAAGAAAACAGACACTTAAAGATGAAATATTATGCAAATGTTACAATATCACCAGAGAGAGGTATTGATGTAGACCCACACACAGTCTACAGCCTCAGTCCTGGGTCTACAGCCTCAGTCCTGGGTCTACAGTCTTAGTCCTGGGTCTACAGCCTCAGTCCTGGGTCTACAGCCTCAGTCCTGGGTCTACAGCCTCAGTCCTGGATCTGTGGAAATCCAAAAGCTCCAATCTGTATATACAGTTGCTGCTTCTGTTTTAAACTCCTCCATTGTGAGATTAATGAAGTTTCTCCATAAACACACATGGTCCCAGATTATTACAAAAAGAGACGATTCAGAATCATAAATAGGTCTCCTTTAAATCTGACTAAAGTCCAGTGTTGTTGTGTCTGAGGGTCAGGGATCTGTGTGGGGTCGATAAAGCAGCCGGGAAGTCCATCATTATCACCTGATGAGACCTCATTTAGACCAACACTGGTTTCTGCAGCCACCCCCTCCTCCACCCTTCACCCCCACCTCACCCCCCCTCCTCCTCCTCCTCCCCCCCTCCTTCACACATAACAACATTTGTACAATCAATAGACAGTGAGAACAGCCATAGGGCATTTTTCGCACTCGTTTCCGCGGCTACGGATGCTTCCTCCAATTACTGATTTGATGAAGGAGGAGAGCAGAGGAGCGACCACACTCTCTTTCTGGTCTTTCTCTGGTTTCTTTCTGGTATTTTTCTGGTCTCTCTCTGGTCTCTCTCTGGTCTCTCTCTGGTCTCTCTCTGGTCTCTCTCTGGTCTCTCTCTGGTCTCTCGCTGATGTCTCTCTGGTCTCTCTCTGGTCTCTCTCTGGTCTCTCTCTGGTCTCTCTCTGGTCTCTCTCTGGTCTCTCTCTGGTCTGTCTCTGGTCTGTCTCTGGTCTTTCTCTGGTCTCTCTCTGGTCTCTCTCTGGTCTCTTGCTGATGTCTCTCTGGTCTCTCTCTGGTCTCTCTCTGGTCTTTTTCTGGTCTCTCTCTGGTCTCTCTCTGGTCTCTCTCTGGTCTCTCTCTGGTCTCTCTCTGGTCTCTCGCTGATGTCTCTCTGGTCTCTTTCTGGTATTTTTCTGGTCTCTCTCTGGTGTCTCTTGGTCTCTCTCTGTTCTCTCTGGTCTCTCTCTGGTCTCTCTCTGGTCTCTCTCTGGTCTCTCTCTCTGGTCCCTCTCCGGTCTCTCTCCTTTCTCCAGTGTTATAACCCCTTCCTGGTTGGTCCACATGGTACTTACATGTCCTGTGCTTTGGTGCTAACACTAGATAAAACCGTTGTCGTCTCCGTCACTCCCACATCTTTAAGACCCTCACAGACAAAGTCCCAGTAATAGATCAGGACGAGAGAGACCCTACGGCAGAGAGTGGTGTGCATCTGAATCAGTAATCACGGCGCTTTGTCCGAGTGCGGCGGCTTCGTTGTTGCTCATTAGTCTTTGTGCAGTTTTTTCAATTAGAGAAGAAGCAGATGTGGAAATGAAACGAGAATCAGACTCAGACGCTGCATGTTTTATGGATTTATCTAAAAGAAAGAAGTAAAACTAAAAAAATAAAAAGAAAGTATTTAAAAGTATTTTGGATCCGTGTGAAAGAACAGGTTTTAATTTTATAAAGCAGTGTGTGGCCTTGGTTTGAGAGTTATATAAAGAAAATCTCTCTTTGGTCTCTCTCTGTGCTATCTCTCTGGTCTCTCTCTGGTCTCTCTCTGGTCTCTCTCTGGTCTCTCTCTGGTCTCTCCCTGGTCTCTCCCTTTGGTCTCTCTCTCTGGTCTCTCTCTGGTCTCTCTCTGGTCTCTCTCTGGTCTCTCCCTGGTCTCTCTCTTTGGTCTCTCTCTCTGGTCTCTCTCTGGTCTCTCTCTCTGGTCTCTCTCTCTGGTCTCTGTTTGGTCTCTCTCTCTGGTCTCTCTCTGGTCTCTCTCTAGTCTCTCCCTGGTCTCTCTCTAGTCTCTCTCTAGTCTCTCCCTGGTCTCTCTCTGGTCTCTCCTTGGTCTCTCTCCTTGGTCTCTCTCTTTGGTCTCTCTCTTTGGTCTCTCTCTCTGGTCTCTGTTTGGTCTCTCTCTTTTGTCTCTCTCTGGTCTCTCTCTCTGTTCTCTCTGGTCTCTCTTTCTGGTCTCTCTGGTTTAGATGTATATTTATTTTCTCTCAGTAAAGTCATGCGTTGTTGTAACACTTCTAGAACAACAGAAAATACTAAAAAGCTAAGAATCCTCGCCTCCTTCTCGTCCACTTACGTTCACCACATGTTTCCATCGTCAGCGATTAAACTAAACCTCGTCTTTGTAAAAACCACAGTTGCTGAAGAACGTAACGAGCCCCGTGGTCGCGGCCTCAAACAGACCATGGAAAAAGAAAAGAGTTCAGCGAGAGGCGATAAACAACACAGCAGGAGGTCTCTCTCCGCACTCTGGCGCCCCAACACTGGCCTCTCTCTGGTCTCTTTCTAGTCTCTCTCTAGTCTCTCTCTGCTCTTTCTCTGGTCTCTCTCTGGTCTCTCTCTAGTCTTCTAGTCTCTCTCTGGTCTCTCTCTCTGGTCTTTCTCTAGTCTCTCTGACATCTCCACAAACCCACAGACCCATACCAGACCAGCAGAACCAGGAGCGTGCACCAGGACCATGGACCACAGACTGAACCCACTTCCAGCTCGTTACAGAAGGAAACCCACAAAGCCTCGCACACTTCTGCTCTGGAGCCACAGCAGCGAATGAAAGGATCTTTGTGAAAAGACTGTGCACGTGTGTATCTGTGTGTGTGTGTGTGTGTGTGTGTGTATCTGTGTGGGTGTGTGTCTCTCTCTCTCTCTCTGTGTGTGTGTTTCAAAGCAGTACATATATTAGTGTGTGTAGGTATAAACTAGGGCTGTCAAGCGATTAAAAATTGTAATCGAGTTAATTACAACTTAAAAATGTATTAATCGTAATTAATCACATTTCAAACTATCGACAAAATGAGGCCATATTTTTCTGTAAATGGTTGTTTGAATGGAAAGAAAACTGTCAGTGTAAATATGTACAGTATTAGTTTATTATAACAATAATCCATATAAAATGACATTAACATTAACATTCTGTCTTTGTTTAGACTCAGACCAAACTATTGTTTGTTACAGATCAGGGACGTTTAAAACCGTCTGAAGCAGAATGTCATTACATCTGTCATGACCTGGTATTGAAGGGAAAATTAGGTACCCAAGCTTTAATTTAGCGAGTGTGCTACAGGAGAAACACGGAGAAGACTGAGACTCCGTAGTCCAGCTTCAGTGCTGTATTTATGTGTGCACCGGTTACACAAAGACACGCACACTGCAAACAGAGAGCGTGGTCTTGGATATGATCACGTTACGCAGCGCCGTTCTCAGTGATCACAGCCGCTGGAGGAACATCCGTCCAGAGGACCTGCTGTCCAGAGGAACCTCTGTCCAGAGGACCTGCTGTCCAGAGGAACCTGCTGTCCAGAGGAATCTCTGTCCAGAAGACCTGCTGTCCAGAGGAACCACTGTCCAGAGGACCTGCTGTCCAGAAGACCTGCTGTCCAGAGGACCTGCTGTCCAGAGGAACCTCTGTCCAGAGGACCTGCTGTCCAGAAGACCTGCTGTCCAGAGGAACCTCTATCCAGAGGAACCTCTGTCCAGAGGACCTGCTGTCCAGAAGACCTGCTGTCCAGAGGAACCTCTGTCCAGAGGACCTGCTGTCCAGAAGACCTGCTGTCCAGAGGACCTGCTGTCCAGAGGACCCTCTGTCCAGAGGACCTGCTGTCCAGAGGAACCTGCTGTCCAGAGGACCTGCTGTCCAGAGGACCTGCTGTCCAGAGGAACCTCTGTCCAGAAGACCTGCTGTCCAGAAGACCTGCTGTCCAGAGGAACCTCTGTCCAGAGGACCTGCTGTCCAGAAGACCTGCTGTCCAGAGGAACCTCTGTCCAGAAGACCTGCTGTCCAGAGGAACCACTGTCCAGAGGACCTGCTGTCCAGAAGACCTGCTGTCCAGAGGACCTGCTGTCCAGAGGACCTGCTGTCCAGAAGACCTGCTGTCCAGAGGAACCTCTATCCAGAGGAACCTCTGTCCAGAGGACCTGCTGTCCAGAAGACCTGCTGTCCAGAGGAACCTCTGTCCAGAGGACCTGCTGTCCAGAAGACCTGCTGTCCAGAGGACCTGCTGTCCAGAGGACCCTCTGTCCAGAGGACCTGCTGTCCAGAGGAACCTGCTGTCCAGAGGACCTGCTGTCCAGAGGACCTGCTGTCCAGAGGACCTGCTGTCCAGAGGGACCTGCTGTCCAGAGGACCTGCTGTCCAGAGGGACCTGCTGTCCAGAGGACCTGCTGTCCAGAGGGACCCTCTGTCCAGAGGACCTGCTGTCCAGAGGGACCTGCTGTCCAGAGGAGCTGCTGTCCAGAGGACCTGCTGTCCAGAGGACCTGCTGTCCAGAGGACCTGCTGTCCAGAGGACCCTCTGTCCAGAGGACCTGCTGTCCAGAGGACCCTCTGTCCAGAGGACCCTCTGTCCAGAGGCAGCTCAGCTCAGAGTTCATACAGGAGGAAACTCGTGTTTCTTTTAAAACGTGGATTCCCAGAGACCTGCTCTGTCTCCGTCTCACACACATGTGTCCGTGGCATTCTGAGTGTTATTATGGGATACGTGGGCATGCGTCAATTAATTAATGAAAAAAATTAATTAACGTGCATTAACATGATAATTTTGACAGCCCTAATATAAACACATTAGTGTATAAGAGTATGTGTGTATATATATTGTTGAAACTAAAAATGATATAAATATTTATATTCGAGTGAAGCCACTGGAGAACATAACATAGCGAGTGCGTCTGGGGAAGAATGTCTCGGACTCTCGGACTATAGATACAGGAGCCCCACAGGGCTGTGTTCTTTCTCCCCTGCTCTTCTCCCTGTACACCAACCACTGCACCTCCAGCCACGACTCTGTGAAGCTGATCAAGTTCGCGGACGACACCACCCTCATTGGACTCATCTCCAACAACGATGAGTCCGCCTACAGGAGGGAGGTGGACCGGCTGGTGTCCTGGTGCAGTGGTAACAACCTGGAGCTGAACGCCCAGAAGACAGTGGAGATGATTGTGGACTTCAGGAAGAGCACTGTCCCCCCGCCCCCACCCTCCGTGATGGACTCCCCCATCACCTCTGTGGAGTCCTTCCGTTTCCTGGGCACCACCATCACCCAGGACCTCAAGTGGGAGCCGACCATCAGCTCCCTCATCAAGAAGGCCCAGCAGAGGATGTACTTCCTGCGGCAGCTCAGGAAAGCCAAGCTGCCTGCACAGATGTTGGTGCAGTTCTACACGGCCATCATCGAGTCCATCCTCACCTCCTCCATCACCTCCTCCATCACCTCCTCCATCAGCTCCTCCATCACCTCCTCCATCACCTCCTCCATCACCTCCTCCATCACCTCCTCCATCACCTCCTCCATCACCTCCTCCATCACCTCCTCATCACCTCCTCCATCACCTCCTCCATCACCTCCTCCATCACCTCCTCCATAACCTCCTCCATAACCTCCTCCATCACATCCTCCATCACCGTGTGGTTCGCTGGAGCCACTACAGCGCATTGTGTGCTCTGCAGAGGAAGTGATCGGCCGCAGCCTTCCATCGCTGCAAGACCTGTACGTTGCCCGAGCTCGAGGCCGGGCTGGTCGTATCACAGCCGACCCCTCTCACCCTGCACATGGACTATTCCAACCACTCCCCTCAGGCAGGAGACTGCGGTCCATCAGGACTAGAACCTCCCGCCAGAAGAACAGTTTCTTCCCCTCTGCTGTTGGACTCTTGAACACTTCTTAACCTGTCCCCCGCCCTTTATAAAGTCACTTTACTGCCCATCATACGTCACTTTACTTCACTGTACTGCTGTCACCTTACATTGTGTGCACCATGTGCACTTGTATATTGTAAATAGTAACTGTAACTCTATTTTAAATTTAAATTTATTCTTTAGAAGTGTTTTTTATTCTTTATTTTTTATTATCTCTCTCTGACTGTTGCACTGAGCCAAAGCAATTTCCAAGTCTGTGACTTCCTGTTACTTACGTGGCAATAAAAATGATTCTGATTCTGATAATGTTTTAATTGATTTTTGATTTACTTTCCTTTTCTTAACTGGTCTCTCTCTGGTCTCTCTCTGGTCTCTCTCTGGTCTCTCTCTGATCTCTCTCTGATCTCTCTCTGGTCTCTCTCTCTGGTCTCTCTCTCTGGTCTCTTGGTCTCTCTCTGGTCTCTCTCTGGTCTCTCTCTGGTCTCTCTCTGGTCTCTCTCTGGTCTCTCTCTGATCTCTCTCTGATCTCTCTCTGATCTCTCTCTGGTCTCTCTCTCTGATCTCTCTCTCTGGTCTCTTGGTCTCTCTCTGATCTCTCTCTCTGGTCTCTCTCTCTGGTCTCTCTCTCTGGTCTCTCTCTCTGGTCTCTCTCTCTGGTCTCTCTCTCTGGTCTCTCTCTCTGGTCTTAAACTTCTCATATAGAACCTGTGGAGCCTCAGGAGGAAGTTGTCGTTGAAGCGAAAGTCAGAGGTTTATTTTCAGAACAGACTTGATCAGAGCTAAATATACCAGCTCAGTCTCTGGGTTATTTTCTTGGTCTGTGGTCCACACACTCTCTCTCTGGTCTCTCTCTCTCTCTCTCTGGTCTCTCTCTCTCTCTCTCTGGTCTCTCTCTGACCAATAAGACTTCAGCTCTCCCAACTGCAGGAATGGGGTCTACAGCCTCAGTCCTGGGTCTACAGCCTCAGTCCTGGGTCTACAGCCTCAGTCCTGGGTCTACAGCCTCAGTCCTGGGTCTACAGCCTCAGTCCTGGGTCTGGATTTAGAAACACTTGGACTGTGGCCTTAAAGTGATGTGGAGCTGGAGCCTGTGGGGCAGGTGATCATTCACTCCACAGGGGTCGCACACCCCTCACTGGACACACACTGAGCCAGAGAGGAGAGAGAGGAGGAGAGAGGAGAAGAGAGAGGAGGAGGGAGAGGAGCAGAGAGAGGAGGAGAGAGAGGAGGGAGAGGAGCAGAGAGAGGAGGAGAGAGAGGAGGGAGAGGAGCAGAGAGGAAGAGAAAGAGGAGCAGAGAGAGGAGGAGAGAGAGGAGCAGAGAGGAGAAGAGAGAGCCAAAGAGAGGAGCAGAGAGAGGAGGAGAGAGAGGAGGAGAGAGGAGCAGAGAGGAGGAGAGAGAGGAGCAGAGAGAGGAGGAGAGAGAGAGAGGAGCAGAGAGAGAAGAAGAGGGGAGCAGAGAGAGGAAAATAGAGGGAGGAGTAGATAACCAGAGAAGCCAGGACAGAAAGAGAGAGGAGAGCCGCCTCACCCCAACTCACCCCACCAAGGGGAGTAAATAATAAAAAAATATAATAATAATGATAATAATAATAAAAACACAGTGTTGATAAACTAAATTCCCACAGAAAGTTTCCATCCGCACACCGAACAAAGAGGACTAACAAACACTGCCGACCTTAATACAGAAGTATAAACTTTAGCATAATAAAGTTACAGCCCCCACTCACTCCCCAGTAACCTGCCTCCCCATTGGACAGCTGTTGCCACGGGAACAGGGCCATTATGGGTGTGAGAGATGAGGAGGCAGTGACCGCGGCGCTGGCAGGTGCAGGACAGACACAGGCGTATCCTCTTCATACAGCTGCAGTTCACAAGATCTATGGGCGCTATACAGCCGCGAGCGAGACCTTTCACCGTAATTAACCCACACCGCACGACTCTCTCTACCTGGGCCTGTGGATGAATGTGTGTGTGAACATGTGTGTGTGTGAACATGTGTGTGTGAACATGTGTGTGTGAACATGTGTGTGTGAACATGTGTGTGAACATGTGTGTGTGAACATGTGTGTGAACATGTGTGTGTGAACATGTGTGTGTGAACATGTGTGTGTGTGTGAACATGTGTGTGTGAACATGTGTGTGTGTGTGAACATGCGAGTGTGAACATGCGAGTGTGAACATGTGTGTGTGTGTGAACATGTGTGTGTGAACATGTGTGTGTGAACATGTGTATGTGTGTGAACATGTGTGTGCCACTGTGGCACCTGCTGTTCCCAGAGGTCTCCCATCACATTACAAACCAGGCCCTTCCTTGCATAGCTTCAGAGGTCTCTCTCACTGTAAACCCTAACTTCAATCGTACTTTAGATATCAAAGTTATTTTAAATAGATTTTTCCCAGTAAGTAGATATTACTCATTTATTGTTAGTTTATTTAAAGCTTGCCTATGTCACTCAGGGTTTTCTTTGAATTGAACTGTTTCTGTTCAAGTAAGCCTCACTTTTGACATTTTGACGTGTAGAGTCTTTAATGAGGCAGGTGTGACAATGGCAGGGTGGCCTGGTGGCTGAGTGGGTAGCACCATTACCTCTCAACTACAGGGTTCTGAGTACGATTCCCGGTCGGATCATAAGTAGAAATTTAATCTTTATTGCAATCACTTAAGTTACTTGGTAATATCAAGTAAAGGATGTACTCGAGGAATTCAAGTGAAGTTAATACGCAATTTATTTCCATGGTTTTTTCAAGTAAACTTTACTTGTCAGGGTTTACAGTGTGGTCTCTCTCTGGTATCTCTCTGATCTCTCTCTCAGGTCTTTCTCTCAGGTCTTTCTCTCTGGTCCCTCTCTGGTCTCTCTCTGGTCTCTCTCTCAGGTCTTTCTCTCAGGTCTTTCTCTCTGGTCCCTCTCTGGTCTCTCTCTGGTCTCTCTCTGGTCCCTCTCTCTGGTCGCTCTCTCTCTCTGGAGCGGCTAACGGAGGGAGCAGCTAACAGAGAGATGAGGCTAAAGGACAGACCAAAGAGAGAGACCAGAGAGAGACCTGAGAGAGACCTGAGAGAGACCAGAGAGAGACCAGAGAGAGACCTGAGAGAGACCAGAGAGAGAGACCAGAGAGAGAGACCAGAGAGAGACCAGAGAGAGACCTGAGAGAGACCAGAGAGAGAGACCAGAGAGAGAGACCAGAGAGAGACCAGAGAGAGAGACCAGAGAGAGAGACCAGAGAGAGACCAGTTTACTGAGAAACCAGTGAGAGACAGCAGCAAAGTGCCGCAGGGAGAGCACTTTAAACCTTTCATTTGCATCAATTACAGCTAAAAGCTTCTTTCTGCTCATCGTCAGGAAATGGCAGATTTTAACACGTCCCACCTTCACTTTTCCCACGCGACCAGAGAAGAAAAGACATTTATACTTTTATACTTTTATACATTTATAAACATCTTTGAGGATCGGAGAGACCGTGGTTTGTGTTCTTCCTCGACTCGTCCTGATCTTCTGTGGAGTTAGAACACCATGAAGACCATCTGGACCAGCGTCATGGACTGGTTATAGTCCAGGTTATATTCCAGGGCCACAGGAAAAACATTAGATCTGGTTTGGGGCCAGGGTACTAACGTTTTTACATATTTTTAAATGAACTGTGGTTGACTTTAGATATTATTTTATATTGTCTCTGTGTTTTAACTGATCTGTGATGTCAGTGGTTTTGTTCAGTCTCTGAGATGATGCTGTTGGGATTTAGGGAAATACAATAATAAGTTGGATTGTATTGTATTTTAAAACAGACACAAATATATGGTTGTTTTCTGAGACGATAAGGTTTAAAATGAAGTATAACGTGCCAAGGAAGTCCATCACCATCAATGCAACAAGTTACTGCGATAAAGATCATTAAAAATCCTCTCAGGGGTCACAGGAAATGGTCTCGCAGAAAGATTTGGCCTTTGAGCCTGAGTTTTACAGGCCCGACCTACGTAGAGGGACTCTGAGGAGCACAGGGACTGGTCTCCTGCTGGGACTCTGAGGAGCACAGGCACTGGCCTCCTGCTGGGACTCTGAGGAGCACAGGGACTGGCCTCCTGCTGGGACTCTGGGGAGCACAGGGACTGGCCTCCTGCTGGTCCCAGAGTCAGGACTAAACATGGGTAGACAGTGTTTCAGATTCATGCATCTGAAACCTGGAACAGTCTTCCTGAACATGTGAGACAGGCTTCTTCTCAGTCAATGTCTTAGAGTGGTGTTAGAGATTTGTCAAACACCACTAACATATTTCCGGTACTAGAGCCCTGCACGGGCCTATTATATGGGCCCAAGCCCGGCCCTGGCCCGAGGGGGTGGCGCCCCAGCCCGGCCCGATATGGTTTCTGAATTTTCAGGCCCGAAACCCGCATCAAGCCCGACTTTTTTCTTTTTTACCTCCCATAACAATGTTTTAGCGTAGTAAATAGGGCCGCGCACTGATATGAACACAGACTTAGCTAGAGGGCGGAGTTATACATGGTAGTGATGTGTTGCAATGAGTTCTGTGTGTGCGGAGTAAACGGCCGCAGCTGTATGATACACAGCTGTATGATACACCGCTGTATGATACACCGCTGTATGATACACAGCTGTATGATACACAGCTGTATGATACACAGCTGTATGATACACAGCTGTATGATACACAGCTGTATGATACACAGCTGTATGATACACAGCTGTATGATACACCGCTGTATGATACACAGCTGTATGATACACAGATGCCGCAACACACCTGTAAGTAACGCTATGTGTCGTCAATGACAACACTACACAGAACAACAAACACTACAGCGTGATAGAACGCTATATTCAGTGGATGCGTTCGGAAATGTAATCTGCCGCTCTGAAAGTGCCCGAGCCCGAGCCCGGCCCGTGTCCGAGGTCATTATACGGTCATCGGCCTGAAGCCCGGCCCTCGGGCTGTCGGGCTGTCGGGGCCCTAGGGCCAAGGGCTCAAGTGCAGGGGTCTATCCGGTACATTCTTCTGTAGATAAAAGTCTTGCTCAGAGTCGTCCTCAAAGTCACTGCACCTCCTGCTGCTGCAGCCGCATCAGCCGAGCAACAGTGAGAGAAGAGACACACTGACAAAGGTAATTATTATCACTGGACTGGATTAAAGATGGAGGAGGAGAAGACCAGAGAGAGAGACCACAGAGAGAGGCAAGAGAGAGACCAGAGAGAGAGAGACCAGAGAGAGACCAGAGAGAGACCAGAGAGAGAGAGACCAGAGAGAGACCAGAGAGAGACCAGAGAGAGACCAGAGAGAGAGGCCAGAGAGAGACCAGAGAGAGAGGCAAGAGAGAGACCAGAGAGAGACCAGAGAGAGACCAGAGAGAGACACCAGAGAGAGACCAGAGAGAGAGACCAGAGAGAGACCAGAGAGAGAGGCCAGAGAGAGACCAGAGAGAAAGACCAGAGAGAGACCAGAGAGAAAGACCAGAGAGAGACCAGAGAGAGACGCCAGAGAGAGAGGCCAGAGAGAGACCAGAGAGAGACCAGAGAGAGACCAGAGAGAGACCAGAGAGAGACCAGAGAGACCAGAGTCACAGAGACAGAGAGGGACCAGAGAGAGAGGCCAGAGAGAAACCAGAGAGAGACCAGAGAGAGACCAGAGAGACCAGAGTCACAGAGACAGAGAGGGACCAGAGAGAGAGGCCAGAGAGAAACCAGCGAGAGACCAGAGAGAGACCAGAGAGAGAGACCAGAGAGAGACCAGAGAGAAAGACCAGAGAGAGACCAGAGAGAAAGACCAGAGAGAGACCAGAGAGAGACCAGAGAAAGACCAGAGAGAGACCAGAGTCACAGAGAGACAGAGAGGGACCAGAGAGAGAGGCCAGAGAGAGACCAGAGAGAGACCAGAGAGAGACCACAGAGAGAGACCAGAGAGAGACCAGAGAGACCAGAGTCACAGAGACAGAGAGGGACCAGACACAGACCAGAGACAGAACAGAGACACACATACACATAGAACCATAATTCCAAATAAATAAAATAAAAAATCCAAAAAGTATCTTTTATACATGTCTCTGACTCATCGTTCTCTTCCGGCCATGAACACAAATTATTACAGATAAAAATTTGTACCCAACACTGTCTTGGTTAGCGATGCCAAGTATCTGCTGCTGAGAAGTTCCTGAGGGCTTCTCTCATAACGAAACACCCACTCCAACCGTCTCGTGCCTGCATCCCCGCTTGCGGAATCAATTAGCACACAAAGCAGAGCGAAGCAAAGACCTGGAGGGATTCTACCAGACAAATGTATATTTTAATTTGTCAGGGACAGAAATGAGACGTTCATGTCTGCTGTAGCTGTTTCTCTCTCTCTGTCTGTCTCTGGTCTCTGGTCTCTCTTTCTGTTTCTGGGCTCTCTCTCTGGTCTCTCTCTCTCTGGTCTCTCTCTGGTCTCTGCTATCGCTCTCCCTCTGGTCTCTCGCTCTCTCTCTCTGGTCGCTCTCTCTGTTCTCTCTCTGCTCTCTCTCTCTGGTCTCAATCTCTGCTCCTTCTCGGTCTATGGTTTCTCTCTCTCTCTCTCTGGTCCCTCTCCCTTTCTCTTTCTCTCTGCTCTCTCTCTCTATTCTCTCTCTCTCTCTGCTCTCTCTCTCTATTCTCTCTCTCTCTCTCTCTCTGTGTTGTATAAAACCAAACACTCTGGTCTCTCTCTCTCCAACACATCCGGCAGCGTCTAACCTGTAGAACTATGAGATCATCCTTCTCTCTCTCTCTCTCTCTCTCTCCGTGTGTTTGGTGCGAACACAACACAGACTACAGCTGAAAACACGTGCAGGTTTTCGGTGTGAGTCCGTTTCAAATACAGCCGTGTCATCGTTGTTCCTGTTTCCTGCTGTCAGCGGCGAAAACGGCTCAAAACAACTCAGAACGAGGCTAAATCCTGAGCCGGGTCCACAGAGACTCACGGGGAACTGCTCTCTCTCTCTCTCTGTCTCTCACTGTCTAGTCTCTCTGGTCTCTCTCTCTCTCTCTCTGTCTCTCTCTCACTGTGGGGTCTCTCTGGTCTCTCTATCCGTGGTCTTTATCTAGTCTCTCTCTCTACCTGGTCTTTATGGTCTCTCGCTCTCTGGTCTCTCTCTCTCTAGTCTCTCTCTTTCTAGTCTCTCTCTCTGTCTCTCTGGTCTCTGTCTCTCTTGTCTTTCTCTCCAGTCTCTCTTGCTCTCTCTCAAAGTCTCTCTCTCTCTCTCTAATTGTATCTCTCTCTATCTCTGGTCTCTCTCTCAATGTATCTCTTGCTATCTCTGGTCTCTCTCCCTCTCTCTCTCTCTGGTCTCTCTCCAGTCTCTCTCTCTCTCTCTCTCTCTCCCTCCCTCACTATGTTATGTATAAACACAAACTCAGTCTATCTCTAATCCCGAGGTTGAGTCTCGAGCCCGGTCCTCGCGCTCCTTCAGTTTGATGAACGAACACAATGTTTTCTGTCTGTGCGTAAAATGTGCCCAGTCAGCAGCAGCAGCAGCGCACCCGCGACCTGTGCGTCACATTCCGCGTCCGTCACAACTCACCGCGACGTTTACGCGACTATTACGACTAAAACATGACAGCGCATGTCTCTTTATCGCTGGTCTCTCTCTCTGGTCTCTCTCTCTTGTCTCTCTATCTGCTCTGTCTCTCTGGTCTCTTTCCCTAATCTCCCTCTCTGCTCTCTCTCACTCTCTCTGCTCTCTCTCCATAGTCTCTCTCTGGTCTCTCTCCCTAGTCTCTCTCCCTAGTCTCTCTCTCTGGTCTCTCTTCCTCTCTCTCTCTCTTTCTCTACCTCATCCACTGTATAATTCGTTCGCAGTGTATTCCAATGTTATGACCAAACCAGGACCAAGCCAAGACCGAACCAGGACCAAACGGCTTATGCAAGACGAATAATTCTACTCCAAGGATCCAGGGACAGATCGGGAAAAGCGGTGACACTCCACAATGAGAGAAAGACGTCCAATCCCACTGCTCAACTTTTTTTTTTTTTTTTTAATCCCGAGCTCGAGGCGACGCCAAAAAGTCCTAATTAGCCAAAGCTGCAGCACACGCAACTCAGCACCAACTCGCTGCAAGACGAACCCAAAGCAACGCTCTCTTTTTACCTTATTTCCTCCGTTTCCAGGAGACAAGGCGCGTCCTGCGGTGGTGGAAGCCGTATCCACGTCGATATGAACCCGTGCAGCCGCCGTAGATCACGCAGAGACGGTTCCCTGGATCCCGTTACGCGTTATTCCCAAAGTATAGCGTCCTGAATGCGCTCCCGCTCCACCGCTGTGTCAGGACTGAAGCCTGCGATCACAACACACAGGCAGCAGGCGAGAAGGACCCTCCCCCTCCACCTCCCCTGACGTTGACTGACAGCTGGACGAGCCAATGGCAGGCGAGGAGGCAGACGGAGATAGTGTTTTGATTGGTTTGATTGGCGCAGAGGGTTTGGAGAGTTTTGGAGCGTTACGCACGGACGCAGCGCAGCCTCCACCTAGATCCAGATGTTGAATGCCTAAACAGCGGACAGTGAGTGGTCAGGGGGAGAGGAGAGAGGGGGGAGAGAGGAGGGAGGGGGAGTTACATGAGGGAGGCAGGTTTAAATGTACAGCGAAGCAAAACAAAACAGAGCGATAAGAGCAGCAGCTGGTGTTATGCAACTTTGTTATGGTATATTCTGTTCCAAACTCACCTCCGTCTGATGTTTGATGAAGAAGAAATGAACACGTGAATGTAAATTTGAAGCAATGTGTTTTTTAACTGGCAAAGTAGACAAAAAACATGAACCAAACCCAATGATGCCTTGTACCAGGTGGAAGCAGCAGTGGTATCTCTCTCTAGTTTCTCTCTGGTCTATCTCTGGTCTCTGGTCTGGTCTCTTTCTGGTCTATCTCTGGTATCTTTCTGGTATCTTTCTGATCTCTTTCTGGTCTCTCTCTGGTCTCTCTCTGGTATCTCTCTGGTCCCTCTCTCTCTCTGGTCTGTATTGAGGGTGTTGTTCCTTTCTGGAAGAAGACGACTGAGGCTGAAGCATCGACAGCCTCAGTCCTGGATCTACAGCCTCAGTCCTGGATCTACAGCCTCAGTCCTGGGTCTACAGCCTCAGTCCTGGATCTACAGCCTCAGTCCTGGGTCTACAGCCTCAGTCCTGGGTCTACAGCCTCAGTCCTGGATCTACAGCTGCAGTCCTGGGTCTACAGCCTCAGTCCTGGGTCTACAGCCTGAGTCCTTGGTCTACAGTCTGAGTCCTGGATCTACAGCTTCAGTCCTGGATCTACAGCCTCAGTCCTGGGTCTATACAGCCTCAGTCCTGGGTCTACAGCCTCAGTCCTGGGTCTACAGCCTCAGTCTTGAATCTACAGCCTCAGTCCTGGATCTACAGCCTCAGTCCTGGATCTACAGCCTCAGTCTTGGATCTACAGCCTCAGTCTTGGATCTACAGCCTCAGTCTTGGATCTACAGCCTCAGTCTTGGATCTACAGCCTCAGTCCTGGGTCTACAGCCTCAGTCTTGGATCTACAGCCTCAGTCCTGGGTCTACAGCATCAGTCCTGGGTCTACAGCCTCAGTCCTGGGTCTACAGCCTCAGTCCTGGATCTACAGCCTCAGTCCTGGGTCTACAGCCTCAGTCCTGGGTCTACAGCCTCAGTCCTGGGTCTACAGCCTCAGTCCTGGGTCTACAGCCTCAGTCCTGGATCTACAGCCTCAGTCCTGGGTCTACAGCCTCAGTCCTGGATCTACAGCCTCAGTCCTGGGTCTACAGCCTCAGTCCTGATCAGTTCTGTCGTTCTTCCACAAATATTGAGTAGATTTTGCGGCTGCAGAGTTCAGACCTCCTTCTGAATAACTCTGTAATCTCCGACCTCCTAAAGCAAAGCCAAAGCCACTGTCCAAACACCTCCGTCCAGGGAAGAAGTATCGCACCGTTCTTCACGCTCGGAGAGGTTCTGTTCATGAATGATGCTGGTCCTGGTTCTGCAGAGGAGAGATTATTTCTATTAAATGAAAACTCTAAGTTATCGTCCCACTGAATATCATAAAGGAACAGGAGCCGAGTTAAAGGAAACGTCTGTGTTTGTAAAGAAAATGGACTAAGCTTCTCCACTGGACTCTGCTTTTCAGCCTGGAACGACCCGAGACATTAGGCAAAGCAAGTTTATCTGTATAGCACAATTCATATAAGACACCTCAAAGTGCGGAACAAAACATAACATCACATTAAAATCATAAATAATCACAGTTTGTTAAAAAGACTTCTCTCCAGCTCATTTCTGTCAATAGAAGCAGCGTGACTAGTGCGCGGACATAGCGCTCCTCGTATTATTACGCCTCACAATATAGTATCCCTTTTTATCCGCTGAGAAAAGGGACATGTTACATTTCTGTGTTACTATACTTTGTAGAGTAACACGTCACGTAACTGTTTTTAAATAGGGAATACGTGGAAGAGTTTGGGAGCTTCTAACGGGAGCTGATTTGGAACTATACAGTCTGCGGAAGAGGCGGCGTTTGTGCTCCGTTTGTATGACAGAGCGCACGGACCAAGACCAGACAGGTTCATATCATCTAGTCTGAGGTAAGAACATGTGTCAGTATGTAAACACGGTGGCCTGTTCCTTTAAATGCAGCAGTGATGATGAGCACAGGGGTGAGACTGAGCGGCTGAGGCTGATGCAGGTGTGCAGAGGGGGAGGAGTCAGTGCAGAGGGGGAGGAGTTAGTGCAGAGGGGGAGGAGTCAGTGAAGGGGGTGGATTCAGTGCAGAGGGAGAGGAGTCAGTGCAGAGGGGGAGGAGTTAGTGGAGAGGGGGAGGAGTCAGTGAAGGGGGTGGAGTCAGTGCAGAGGGGGAGGAGTTAGTGGAGAGGGGGAGGAGTCAGTGAAGGGGATGGAGTCAGTGCAGAGGGGGAGGAGTCAGTGAAGGGGGTGGAGTCAGTGCAGAGGGGGAGGGGTCAGTGCAGAGGGTGAGGAGTCAGTGTAGAGGGGGAGGAGTCTGTGCAGAGGGGGACGAGTCAGTGTGACAGTCAGTGTGAGGAAAACAAATTTAAGTAAAGTAATGGATTACTTTAGTGACATCATAGTGCCATCTGCCCTCCCCTCTCCCCCCTCTCCTCTCTCTTCTCCTCTCCCATCTTTCCTCTGTCCTCTCCCACCTCTCCTCTCTCTTCTCCTCCTCCTCCTCTCCCCAGGGAGCAAACATGGCCGGCGTTCGTGGTAATTGGAACGAGAGTGACCTTAAGTGTGTCTGAAGCTGAGCAGTCAGAGCAGGACCTGGACGAGGCTCCATGGTGATGATGATGAAGATGGTGATGAAGGAGACGGCGGCGGATGTTGTGTTCGGAGCTGGTTCTTATAATTGACGTGTTTGACATTTATCGTTAGCATTTGGTAACGAGTCGAGCAAAAGGAATCATAAAGCGTAACAAGAAGTTGCCGCAAAGTCGTCTCGGCGGAAATGTGTGGATTTGATGGATTTGGATTTTCAAAGTGAGAAATGTCCAGGACCAGGTTTGTCGACCTTTCCACAGGTGCTTTCCACAGGTGCTTTCCACAGGTGGCGCTGACGATGGGCTACACAACGGAACTTTAACTGTTTGTGTTTCTGTACGAGGTGCAACGAGACACGTGTTTTCTTATCACCTCGAAAGAGCGACAGATACAGGCCAATCCACCTTTAGATTCTACACATTTACGTCAGGCAAACACACTTACAATGGGCATACACACATGCTCATACTAACACACACACACACACACACACACACACACACACACATACTACAGACTAACAGGCACACACAGACACACACACACACATACAGACACACACACACACACACGAGCGAGACGTCATGAGGAGAAAGACTGGTTTGCTGTTGTGTTACTGTTGTTTTACTGTTGTGTTGCTGTTGTGTTACTGTTGTGTTGCTGTTGTGTTACTGTTGTGTTGCTGTTGTGTTGTGTTGTGTTACTGTTGTGTTGCTGTTGTGTGACTGTTGTGTTGCTGTTGTGTTGCTGTTGTGTTGCTGTTGTGTTGCTGTTGTGTTGTGTTACTGTTGTGTTACTGTTGTGTTGCTGTTGTGTTACTGTTGTGTTACTGTTGTGTTGCTGTTGTGTGACTGTTGTGTTGCTGTTGTGTTGCTGTTGTGTGACTGTTGTGTTGCTGTTGTGTTGCTGTTGTGTTACTGTTGTGTTACTGTTGTGTTACTGTTGTGTTGCTGTTGTGTTACTGTTGTGTTGCTGTTGGGTTGCTGTTGTGTTACTGTTGTGTTGCTGTGGTGTTACTGTTGTGTTACTGCTGTGTTTCTGTTGGGTTGCTCTTATGTTACTGTTGTATTGCTGTTGTGTAGTTGTTGGGTTGCTGTTGTGGTAATGTTGTGTTACTGTTGTATTGCTGTTGTGTTACTGTTGTGTTGCTGTTGTGTTACTGTTGTGTTACTGTTGTGTAGTTGTTGGGTTGCTGTTGTGTTACTGTTGTGTTGCTGTTGTGTTACTGTTGTGTTGCTGTTGGGTTGTTGTGTAGTTGTTGTGTTGCCCATGCCTGGCTTCCTTCTTGGCCTCCGTGACGGTCTCACAAACACTTTCAGATCACATTAATCATTCCACTAAACTTCTGGCACCTCTTTTATTTCTCTCAAACTCTCTCTTTTCTCGCTGCCATCAACAGACTGGGAACCAACTTCTTCTAGTCTCCCTCTAGTCTCTCTCTGGTCTCTCTCTAGTCTCTCTCTCTCTGTCTCTCTGTCTTTCTCTGAACTCTCTCTAGTCTCCCTCTCTCTGGTCTCTCTCTCTTTCCTTTCTCTCTCTCTGGTCTCTCTCTCTCTCTGGTCTCTCTCTCTCTCTCTGGTCTCTCTCTGGTCTCTCTCTCTTTCCTTTCTCTCTCTCTAGTCTCTCTCTCTCTCTCTGGTCTCTCTCTCTCTCTGGTCTCGCTCTCTCTCTGGTCTCTCTCTCTCTCTCTCTCTCTCTCTCTCTCTCTGGTCTCTCTCTCTCTCTCTTGTCTCTCTCTCTCTCTTGTCTCTCTCTCTCTCTCTCTCTCTCTCTCTTGTCTCTCTCTCTAGTCTCTCTCTCTCTCTCTGGTTTCTCTCTCTCTCTTGTCTCTCTCTTGTCTCTCTCTCTCTCTCTCTGGTCTCTCTCTCTCTTGTCTCTCTCTCTCTCTCTCTCTAGTCTCTCTCTCTCTCTCTCTATCTGGTCTCTCTCTCTCTCTCTTGTCTCTCTCTCTCACTCTCTCTCTCTGGTCTCTCTCTCTTTCCTTTCTCTCTCTCTCTCTGTCTCTCTCTCCTCTCCCTGAATCTCTCACATGAGTCTCTGATCTCGATCCAGGATTATAATCTGCAGCAGGTTTTTGCAGATTAACAGAACCTGAAACATTTCTTGCAATTTTGAACGACAGAAATGAGCTCTTCTTTCAATCTGCCCACGACTAATAAACACGGAGATGTGATGGCTCTCGCCGCCGTCTCCCTCCTCGCCGTCTCCTTCCTCGCCGTCTCCCTCGCCATCTCCCCCCTCGCCGTCTGCCTCCTCGCCGTCTCCTTCCTCGCCGTCTCCCTCGCCGTCTCCCTCCTCGCCGTCTCCCTCCTCGCCGTCTCCCTCCTCGCCGTCTCCCTCCTGCCGTCTCCTTCCTCGCCGTCTCCTTCCTCGCCGTCTCCCTCCTCGCCGTCTCCCTCCACGCCGTCTCCTTCCTCGCCGTCTCTCTTGTCGGCGTCTTTCTCGTCGCCGTCTCCCTCTTCGCCGTCTCTCTCGCCATCTCCCTCCTCGCCGTCTCTCTCCTCGCCATCTCCTTCCTCGGCGTCTCCCTCCTCGGCGTCTCCCTCCTCGGCGTCTCCCTCCTCGGCGTCTCCCTCCTCGCCGTCTCCCTCCTGCCGTCTCCCTCCTCGCCGTCTCCCTCCTCGTCGTCTCCCTCCTCGCCGTGTCCCTCCTCGCCGTCTCCCTCCTCGCCGTCTCCCTCCTCGCCGCCTCCCTCCTCGCCGCCTCCCTCCTCGCCGTCTCCCTCCTCGCCGCCTCCCTCCTCGCCGTCTCCCTCCTGCCGTCTCCCTCCTGCCGTCTCCCTCCTCGCCGTCTCCCTCCTCACCGTCTCCCTCCTCGCCGTCTCCCTCCTCGCCGTCTCCCTCCTCGCCGTCTCCCTCCTCTTTGTCTCCCTCCTCTTTGTCTCCCTTCTCACCGTCTCCCTCCTCACCGTCTCCCTCCTCGCCGTCTCCCTACTCGCCGTCTCCCTCCTCGGCGTCTCCCTCCTCGGCGTCTCCCTCCTCGGCGTCTCCCTCCTCGGCGTCTCCCTCCTCGGCGTCTCCCTCCTCGGCGTCTCCCTCCTCGGCGTCTCCCTCCTGCCGTCTCCCTCCTCGCCGTCTCCCTCCTCGCCGTCTCCCTCCTCGCCGCCTCCCTCCTCGGCGTCTCCCTCCTGCCGTCTCCCTCCTCGCCGTCTCCCTCCTGCCGTCTCCCTCCTGCCGTCTCCCTCCTCGCCGTCTCCCTCCTCGCCGTCTCCCTCCTCGCCGTCTCCCTCCTCGCCGTCTCCCTCCTCGCCGTCTCCCTCCTCGCCGCCTCCCTCCTCGCCGTCTCCCTCCTGCCGTCTCCCTCCTGCCGTCTCCCTCCTGCCGTCTCCCTCCTCGCCGTCTCCCCTCCTCGCCGTCTCCCTCCTCGCCGTCTCCCTCCTCGCCGTCTCCCTCCTCGCCGTCTCCCTCCTCGCCGTCTCCCCCCTCGCCGTCTCCCTTCTCACCGTCTCCCTCCTCACCGTCTCCCTCCTCGCTGTCTCCCTACTCGCCGTCTCCCTCCTCGCCGTCTCCCTCCTCGCCGTCTCCCTCCTGCCGTCTCCCTCCTCGTCGTCTCCCTCCTCGCCGTCTCCCTCTTGCCGTCTCCCTCCTCGCCGTCTCCCTCCTCGCCGCCTCCCTCCTCGCCGTCTCCCTCCTGCCGTCTCCCTCCTGCCGTCTCCCTCCTCGCCGTCTCCCTCCTGCCGTCTCCCTCCTCGCCGTCTCCGTCCTCGCCGTCTCCCTCCTCGCCGTCTCCCTCCTCGCCGTCTCCCTCCCTCGCCGTCTCCCTCCTCGCCGTCTCCCTCCTCGCCGTCTCCCTCCTCGTCGTCTCCCTCCTCGCCGTCTCCCTCCTCGCCGTCTCCCTCCTCGCCGTCTCCCTCCTCGCCGTCTCCCTCCTCGCCGTCTCCCTACTCGCCGTCTCCCTCCTCGCCGTCTCCCTCCTCGCCTTCTCCCCCCTCGCCGTCTCCCTACTCGCCGTCTCCCTCCTCGCCGTCTCCCTCCTCGCCGTCTCCCTCCTCGCCGCCTCCCTCCTCGCCGTCTCCCTCCTGCCGTCTCCCTCCTGCCGTCTCCCTCCTCGCCGTCTCCCTCCTGCCGTCTCCCTCCTCGCCGTCTCCGTCCTCGCCGTCTCCCTCCTCGCCGTCTCCCTCCTCGCCGTCTCCCTCCTCGCTGTCTCCCTTCTCACCGTCTCCCTCCTCACCGTCTCCCTCCTCGCCGTCTCCCTACTCGCCGTCTCCCTCCTCGCCGTCTCCCTCCTCGCCTTCTCCCCCCTCGCCGTCTCCCTACTCGCCGTCTCCCTCCTCGCCGTCTCCCTCCTCGCCGTCTCCCTCCTCGCCGTCTCCCTCCTCGCCGCCTCCCTCCTCGCCGTCTCCCTCCTGCCGTCTCCCTCCTGCCGTCTCCCTCCTCGCCGTCTCCCTCCTGCCGTCTCCCTCCTCGCCGTCTCCCTCCTCGCCGTCTCCGTCCTCGCCGTCTCCCTCCTCGCCGTCTCCCTCCTCGCTGTCTCCCTTCTCACCGTCTCCCTCCTCGCCGTCTCCCTCCTCGCCGTCTCCCTACTCGCCGTCTCCCTACTCGCCGTCTCCCTCCTCGCCGTCTCCCTCCTCGCCTTCTCCCCCCTCGCCGTCTCCCTCCTCGTCGTCTCCCTTCTCACCGTCTCCCTCCTCGCCGTCTCCCTCCTCGCCGTCTCCCTACTCGCCGTCTCCCTCCTCGCCGTCTCCCTCCTCGCCGTCTCCCTCCTCGCCGTCTCCCTCCTCGCCGTCTCCCTCCTCGCCGTCTCCCTCCTCGCCGTCTCCCTCCTCGCCGTCTCCCTCCTCGTCGTCTCCCTCCTCGCGCCGTCTCCCTCCTCGCCGTCTCCCTCCTCGCCGTCTCCCTCCTCGCCGTCTCCCTCCTCGCCGTCTCCCTCCTCGCCGTCTCCCTCCTCGCCGTCTCCCTCCTCGCCGTCTCCCTCCTCGCCGTCTCCCTCCTCGCCGTCTTCCTCGCCATCGACTCCTTGTGTAAAGTTCTCCAACAGCAGCATATGTTATTGAGCTCCTTCTGTTTCAATAGAAAAACAAAGAGAGCGTTTGGGGAGCGAGAGCAGCGAGAATAACATTTACATTTGTGTGTGTGGACCGAGACCAGGACCAGGACAAGGATGAGGACCAGGATGAGGACCAGGACGGGACCAGGACGTGAACCGTGACCAGGACCAAGACCGGGACCAGGACCAGGACGGTGAACCATGAAAAACTGGGTTGAGATTACAGAGGTCACAACATTTGCATTAGTCACATCTGAGTATTGTCTCTCTCTGGTCTCTCTCTGGTCTCTCTCTCTAGACTCTCTCAGTTCTCTGTCTGGTCTCGCTCAGGTCTCCATCTGGTCTCTCTGGTCTCTGTCTAGTCTCTCTCTAGTCTCACCGCTTCTTCTCTGGTCTCTCTCTGGTTTCACTGCTTTTTCTCTGGTCTCTCTCTGGTCTCTCTCTCTAGTCTCTCTCTGGTCTCTCTCTAGTCTCTCTCTGGTCTCTCTCTAGTCTCTCTCTAGTCTCTCTCTGGTCTCTCTAGTGTCTCTCTGGTCCCTCTCTCTGGTCCCTCTCTGGTCTTTGTCTGGTCTAAATATACACAGGGTCTAAATACATCAGGGTGGACCATATTATCAACAGGACCAGCAGGAAGAAAAGCTCTCAGCAAACAAGAGAGTCATTATTTTTATTATTGTTCAAATTCTAAACATTAAATCAACAAAAAAACAGATTTAAGGAGAGAGACTGGAGGCGACAGATTATACTCTCTCTCTCTCTCTGGGACCAAATACATTCTTTCTCTGCTCTCTCTCTGACAGGAGGAGGGAGCAGCTTCACGGTGGTGTGTCGGTTTCGTTCTGGAGGCAGAGTTCTGGTCTCGTTGCGGTCTTAGCAGTAAACAAGTGAATCATGCGTTGCTCAAGGACGATGGCAGAGCGGTGCTGACGCTGCAGACGGAGGGTCAGGGTCTCTCTCCTCCATCGCTCTCGGTCACTGCTGAACCTGTCCTCGGGTCCTCAGGGCCTCGGTCTGTCAGGGGGACCAGAGAGGGCACATAGGCTGGTCTTACCATTTCAATTTGGAGAGACGAGAAACAGGAAGTTGAGTATTTTATGAAAGGAGGTTTGGCGCCCTAGGCCCCGGTGCGGCCTTCGGATCGGAAAGGCTCCTGCGATGAGCGCGCACAATCCCCCGGGACCTAGGCACTGGTGGTGGCATTTGGCAGCGGGAAGAAAATTGAAGGCAGGTTGGAGGCAGGGTGAAGAGGAGGAGGAGGGGAGGCGGTGGTTGCGAGGCTTCAGAGGCCGGTAGTGGGCGTTGCTCCGTTTTTATGCGGCTGCGAGTCGGTACAGATGATTGGAAGGGGGCGTCTGCTGAGCGATAGGCTGGGGATGACAGCCGGCCTGGAGGGGGTAAATTTGGTTAACGTCTACCAAATTGAATTTTCGCGGGCTGCATTTCAATTTGGAGAGACGAGAAACAGGAAGTTGAGTATTTTATGAAAGGAGGTTTGGCGCCCTAGGCCCCGGTGCGGCCTTCGGATCGGAAAGGCTCCTGCGATGAGCGCGCACAATCCCCAAAAAGGCTGCGTGTTGATGGAGTTTTCGAAGCCTGGTTTGGAGGGGACAGACGTCGTGACTACTCTATTCTGTGACCGCTATCGCTAAGCTGTGACCGCTATTGCTATGCTGTGACCGCTATCGCTATGCTGTGACCGCTATCGCTATATGCTGTGACCGCTATCGCTATATGCTGTGACCGCTATCGCTATATGCTGTGACCGCTATCGCTATATGCTGTGACCGCCAGCGCAATGCTGCTAACCATTTTTTGCTATATGCTGTGACCGCTATCGCTATATGCTGTGACCGCTATCGCTATATGCTGTGACCGCTATCGCTATATGCTGTGACCGCTATCTACTGTGATCAATACTTGCGGATACTCGGCTGCTGCGGCGCCTATCCGGAAGGAGTGAGCTGCGTAGAGATGGGGAGACAGGTTACAAAGCAGCAGAACGGACTTTAGTTGGGCTCTGAACCCGTTGGATGACGTTGGGAGGTGATCGGGGGTGAGAAATAACGGTCCGTTGAGATCTCCTTTCCGAGAGCGGAGGCGAGTGTAATGCATCGTGGGTTATTTTTGCGCGCTGGGAACGTGAGCGTTCGCATCACGTTCCGTCAGACGCTGCGGCAGCGGAGAGTGTTTGAGAAGTGCGTGCCGCCACCAGAATCTTATTGCTTCACTTACTTTGCTTCGTATTGCTTTGCTGGGAGCTTGCGAGGAAGCCAGTAGGCGTTGTGCAGCCAGGATAGCGGACGCGTCTGGCCTGATGTAGGCGGAGAAAGCCGAAGAGGACCAGCACCCCAGCTGTTGGAGAGGTGGGGGAGCCCCAGCGAGGCTGCGCGCGTGGCAGCGCCTGTCCTGAAGGAGTGAGCTGTATGGAGCTGGGGAGACAAATTGCAGAAGAGCAGTAGGGATCTTAGTTGAGCTCTGAACCAGGTTGCTGTCATGGGAAGGCTGTCCGGAGAGAGATGTGTCGGAGCGAGCTATCATTATGTTGCAGGCGCCTTGGTCTTTGAATGTTTGAGATGAAGGTTGAAAGGGTCAGGGGACATTATGTTGGGTGAAAAAGAGCGACCTTTGTGTGATGCTTCCACTACGTCGAGATTATCGCGCATGACAGAGATCCTCTTTCTCTGCCACGTGTGATTCCACAGCGCACAGGCCACGACCACTGGGAATATCTTGTGTAGGGCAGAGGAGATGCTCTGGTGGAAGTAGCGGCCACGGCCCGGCAACCCAATGGTCCTGGAAGAACCCCCCAAAACCCACGGAAGGGGCACGTCCGTGTAGAAGCGGAGACCTGTAGGGGCAGAGAGACATATCGGAGAGGGCCATTGATGTTGCAGGCGCCCTTACGCTTAGAATCTTGGGTCGGAGAGTAGATAATCAGGATAGTAGGATGGTCGGGAAGCCGCGTCTCGGACCGCATGAAGGTTGAGCGGGCAGTAGTGGACGCTTATGCAGAGAAGCCATAGAAGGCGAGCGGGAAGATGCTGCGAGGAGGGCAGACATGTACTTGGAAGACGAGCCAGAGTTCAGTGCCGCTCAGAGCCGCTGCAGGATGGGCAGCATGATGGGGGAGCCTGCGATCAGAAGAGTGAAGAATACAGGTATGGATGCCTTTGATTGGGAGTCCGATTGACGGCTCAGCGCAGCTACTCGGCCGGCTGCATCTGATAGAATCAGAAGATTAGGTAGAGAGATGAAGCATGACCGCCGAAGCGACCCTGGGAGCATAGGTGCGAGGCCAGCGCAGCGCGGCATACTAGCCGGGCAGCATCCATTAGAACCAGGATAAGCTTCTGAGAGAGTGGGTTGCAGCAGTAGCGGTAGCATCAGCGGCAGCAGCAGTACCTCAGATAATAACGCGATAACCTGTATCAAGCCGCGGCAGCAGCAGCAGCAGCAGCAGCATCCTTAGAGATTACAGTAATAATACTGTATCAAGCCACGGCAGTAGAATGTTGTCGTAGCTGATCAGTGTTTCAGTAAAAGAGATGCAAGTGAAGAGAGATGGCAAGTAAATGAAGCAGCAGTAGTAGCGCAGTAGCAGTATGGAGCAGCAGCAGCAGCAGCAGTAGTAGCCGTAAGAAGCAGCAGTAGCAGCAGCAGCAGCTGCAGCGTCCGTAGATAATAACAGCAATGATCCTGTATCAAAGCCACGGCAGTAGAATGTTGTTGTAGCTGTTCAGTGTGAGGGATTTCAACAGGTTTTTTACGGTCCAAATGATTTACGGTCCGAGTGAGGGATTAACTGAGCCCGCAGTCCAAGGTGAGGAGTTTAACTTTTTTTTTTTTTTATTTATTTATTTATTTTTATTTATATTTAGGCCGAGCCAATACTTTGTATTGGGGAGGCCTATTGTTATTCACCGGTTTCATATTATTAGGCCGAGCCAATACGAAGTATTGGGGAGGCCTATTGTTATTCACCGGTTTCATATTATTATTCTTTTTCTTTTTCCGCAACTTCAATTCGATTTTTGACCCTGAAGACATGCACGAAAGTCTGCACATGGGGGGTCTAAAACGACCGGTTCGGCGAAAAATTTGATAAAATGAACGTTTCCAGATTGTCCGACGCTCGCCGACTCTATAACGCCCCCTAGAAATTTCATTTTTTTTGACCCTCTGGGGATTTTTTTTCAAATTTTTGAGTAGGTATACGAAATTCGGATGAGTGATAGATCTCTATGAGACGAGCATAAAAGCCGTTCTAAGCACATGTCTGGGACCAACAGGAAGTCGGCCATGATGGGCCAAAGTTTCGCCACTAATTTGACTTTTCATTTAGAAATTCGAACTAGTCCCTGGTTTTTCATCACACACAGTTCTACCACGTCATTTCCCAATCTGGACGGATTGAAGTTATATAATCATCGAAAAAAAGTTAGAAAATCTTCACCGTTTTCGTCCCTCGCCATGGCGAATAAGGCCTTCGTTTTGGCCATTTTCGCTGAGCCCTGAGGGCCACAGGCTCAGACCTACAGAGCTGAGACTCACATCAGTAATATTAGGTTATGGCCTGAACGCAATGACACTAAAATCATTCGCCCAATTCGAGCTCTTTAGCGCCACCTGTCGGAAAGTAATAGGGCACTAGTGCTCGGATCGGCCCGAAAATCGCTGAGTGTATTCTCTGGACCGAGACGAGCAAAACATTACATTACGCAAAAGTTGTAAGTCCTACACCTGACCACTGGGGGCGCCGGAAAAATGAATGAAGGAGCTTTTTGGGGCAAAATGTTTGTCCGATGAGGCTAAAAATGAATTCAGTAATACAGCGTATGACCCTGAACACAACGATATACAACACACAACTGTGAGTGCAACAGCGCCACCTACAGGCAGTTCAAGGTGTCGCATTTTTGGCTTCGTACTAGTCCCTGGATTTTCATCGCACAGACTTCTACCATGTCATTTCTCCATCTGGACGGATTGAAGTTATG